TAAGTCCTTTTCCTTGTTCTCTGCCCCACTTCCATTTATGGAAAGGAAAGGAAAGATAAAAAGAAGGGTAAGGCCATGTGTAAAGACTCTGGTTAAATGACCATGGGATATGAAGCAGAGAATTTGGATTTCTGAGCCCTGCTTTTGGCTGGATTATGTTTCTGCTGCAGAACTAAAGCCTCTTTTGGAAGAGCCTCAGAAAAAAAAAACTGCTCAAAAGCTGAGGATCTATTTTCTGGTTAGACTTAGTACAATTGCATTATTGCTTATTTTTCTGTGTTTTTGGTCTGAGGATTGATGTGTATGTAATCCTGCTATCAGAGACTCTCTCATGACATAAAGGGCCAGGGTTTACTTTGGTGTGTTTTCTTACTTTCTTGGTTTTCACCCCTTTGCTAGAGAACCTATGCTGAAGTCTATTTCCTACTTGTAGAAATACATCTCACAATGTTACAGAATAAAATTGAATTAAAAGGAGGGCCACAAAAATCAGTAATTTTTGATCAACAAATCATTAGGTCCAGAGATGAACGCAGGTCCTCAAGAATCATGTCTAGTCCCAAGTGTGAGGGTAGGAAAGCCCAAGATTCCTGGGAATATCATACGACTAACCCTGCTACAGCCTTCTCCCTCCCTCCCTTCAGCTACTGTCCAGGGGAGCAACCTTCATGGAGATTTCTGCAGGTGCTGCACCCCTTACCTCCTCAGCAGCCACAGTTACTGAAGACCCAGAAAAGAGAGTTCTTACCACCAACAACAAATGGTTTAACCAGAAAATGACAGTTTTCTTAGAAATGACTTTTTAAAAGATGCATTATCATCTCTTTTTTTTGTTACTCTTTGAACTGGGCCTTTCCATCTAAATTGCAGATGAAACCTCCTATTAGAAATGCTAAGATCAGGGACCGTTTTGCCTCTCTATCTGTATCGTCAGTGATTTGCTTAAAATGAGCATTAGAGAATTGTTTCTTCATTCATTCATTAGGTGGAAGTCCAGCCTCACAGATCCTTCCTAGGTGCTTTTCTCTTGCTAGACAGGGAAAGTCTCCATAGAATTCTCCAAACCTTTGCTGCCCTCTCCCTGAAACAAGATGGATGGAAAAAAAAAAACAACCCTTCATTTTTTTCTTCTCTTCTAGTTGTCTCCTCTTCCTGATATTATTCCTCTTTAATTATTGGTGGCTTTCCTCCTTTTTCTCCTACCCAAGGGGGAGAAGTTGAGTACAGAGAAGGCTGCTAAGACAGAAGAGACTGTTTAGGGCACATCGGTAATTGGGAAAGAGTGGAATGAGGAAGGGGAGAAAGAGTGATACTCTTTTAGCTACATTTATAACGACTGTATTGGATGACAGTTGACCATTTGCTTCCTATCATAACCCACCTTAGGGGTTTTTACCCTTTTGATGTATGTCATGGACACCTTTCCCAGCCTAATGACACAGAATAGTTCCCTTCTCAGAATAATGTTTTTAAACACATAAAATAAAATACATAGTATTTTAAAGGAAATGAATTATATTGAAATAGTTATAAAAATGTTTTTGAAAAGTTCACAGACCCCAGGTTAAGAACTTCTATCTTAGATATAAAAATGGGATGGGTCTTTCAGCCAATCTGATTTTTGGAGTTAGCAAAATTTATCTGGAAGCCGTTATTTGGGCAGAAATGAAATGAAAACCTGGGACCAAATTAATTCTTTGCAAGGCAGAATTTACCCTCCATGAACACTGTTGTCCTTAAGGATTTGTTTCTTTAGAGTGTGCCACTGGAGGTGACCTGTGCTGAACCACTTAGTGAGGGAGAAGTGAGAAAGGGTTAAGTAACTGTCCTGGTGCAACCTAGTTTTATACTGAGTTTATAAAATAGGAAGGGAAAATATGTTCCTTTATATTTGTATTTTAAACTTCCGATTCATAAAAGATGGCAGTAATAACCACAGCCCAGCTTCAGGAATAATCTGTGATGGGTGAGTAGAAAACAGAATACTGCTTTCTCAACCATGTGCTTCCTAGGGGCCTTTTCTGAAGATAGACAACAGGTAAGGGAATCGGTAGATGTTTTCTTTCTATTTGCAAGACAACACTAAGGAGGACCAATAGTTGATTAACCTTTAAATTTAAGGAAGGCATTTTAAACTTATTTGATGTCTTTGCTTTTTACCTTTATTTCTTTCACCTTTATTTCTGGCAATCAGTCAACAAGCATTTATTAAGTACCTAGTATGTGTCAGGCATTGTGCTAAGTGAACAGAATACAAAGAAAGGCAAAAAAAAAAAGCCAAAAAAAGCCAACAAGCCACCCAGATTCTGTTCTTAGGTAAGTAACAGTCTAATGGGGGAAGGGTGTCAGGGAAGGAACATATCCTTCTTTCCTGTCCAGGAGGCCACTATTTGTGATAAAGAATAGAAAAAGGAAAAACTGAAAAGCAACCAACACATGAACTGAGTTTGACAATATAATCAGTGTACTACACCATAGTCTCCCACCTCTGAGACAGTTGTATTTTCCCTTTTCTTTAGGGACGAGGTTGGTCATTGTAATTACACAGGGTTCAGTTTCATGTCTGAGGGTTTTTTACTCTTCATTTACATTTTGTCATCATGTGTAGTTTTCCTTGTTCTGCTTACTTTATTTTGCATCAGTTCATGTAAGTTTTGCCATATTATTGTGTTTTTATGGCACAATTTTTTTTACTACATTTATCGATCACATTCCATTTAACATTCCTTAAATCAATAACTGGCCTTTGAATTAAAGAGCGATCTTACTTCACTGTAATGGCAAGGGCCAAGACAAAAAAAGCAATTTGTAACCAAATATTAATTAATATTATGAGAATGACCAACATTCTCAGTCCATAAATAGCTTCTGAAAGGAAGCAAGACACACCGAAAACACAGACTCTCCACACTGATAATTGTGCTATACCAGATGTCACCATAATTTCACTCCCTCAACTAGTAAGAAGTCAAGTTGGTGGAAGGTGTGATATCTTCAGGCTTGGGGAATTAAACATTCCTTTCTAGTCTGTGGCTATGTGACAACTAGTAGATTGATCTTTTAAAATGTAAAAGAAGCAATAATATCCCCTGTTTAGGATTTTGGTATTATTTTCAAACCTTTTAGTGATAAAAAAGTTTTTACGGTATTTCCATATTATGAGATTCTCTTCCTGCCCTGGCTATCTGTTAGCATCAATGATAAGTAGTAATAGAATGAGGGAATTACCTCATCTACTGACCTCTCAGCTCCTGTTAGCCAATCAGGTAGATTCTCATTACAATGTCAAATGGGAAGTGCCTATTTAGGCCTGTAGGTGGATATAATGGGCTCAACAATGAGCTAGAGGATATTGGAGCCTTCAGCTAAATGGCCTGGAGCAGTTTTTGCCTTTGGGACTATCAAGAAAGTGAACTCGAGTTAAAAAGGAGGCACAGGGATACTAGGGTAGAGAAGGGGAAGAAGGGAGAGCCAGATTCCTGTCTAGAGTGTGGACGTAAGTCTGGCTCATTAGTGAAAGGGTATACATGGCTGACAATGCATGCCATCTTGGTGAACAGAAATCAATGAGTTTGGGTGTCAAATTCCACTGAATTCAGTTGAAAAGTAATGTGTTGGCAACAGACTGAATTCAAGTGGCAAATGTAACTCTGCCATCAGTTAGGCATTGGCCATCAAAGAGAATGAATACTGTACATCTTTGGATAAGTTTCTTAGTTTCTATGAGCCTGTTTCTTCATTTGAATAATAGGGATAATGATATTTGTACTACCAGCTCCTAGGGCTGTTGTGATTATCAAATGAGAAAATGGATATAAAGTGCTTTGCAAATGTTAAAGCACTATATAAATGTCAGCTCTGGTGATTAATTCTTAGATGCTTAGCTCATAACATGCCACATACATGATATAGTTGTGGGAAGAAACTAAAGCAGAGAAACATCAGCCATTCCTCGAGTAGCAGGGTGCCTCTTCTTTACCTACACACTGAAGATGCAGTGATCCCAAGACCATGGTTTTTGAATCTTTGTGAACTAAAGACGTCAATATGAAATCACCTACTTACCTACTAGCAGAAGGAAGCCCTCCAGTTTCATGTTGAGGTTGGAGAGACTGCCACAGAGGGTTACAATAAAAGAGCACAATGACCTTGAAGGAAATGGACTTTTAGAGGTTCACTCAAATGTTCAGGGAAAATGTATATAATATATAATATTGTATGTAATAGCAATACACTAATATTAATTATTATATTAATTAAGATTATAATATTAATGATTATTATACCATTAATATGCTAATGATATAAATATATAATATTACTATGTTAACAATATAATACAATATATAATATATAATATAATAACATGCTATTAGTGCACTTGAAGCTGCATGACTAGTGGGAGCAGCCTTCTCAGAGCTGATCTGGTCCTGGGAGGTAGAGAGGACATTTTGAAGGAGAGGGAGAGGGAGAGAGAGAGAGAGAGAGGGAGAGAGAGGGGGGGGGGGAGAGAGGAGAGAGAGAGAAGAGAGAGAGAGAGAGAGAGAGAGAGAGAGAGAGAGGAGAGGAGAGAGAGAGAGAGAGAGAGAGAGAAAGAGAGAGAGAGAGAGAGAGAGAGGGAGAAAGAGAGAGAGAGAGAGAGAGAGGAAGAGAGGAAGAGAGAGAGAGGAAGAGAGGAAGAGAGAGAGAGAGAGGGAGAGAGAGAAGAGAGAGAGAGAGAGAGAGAGAGAGAGAGAGAGAGGGAGACAGAGGGAGACAGAGTGAGAGAGAGGGAGACAGAGGGAGACAGAGGGAGACAGAGGGAGAGAGAGAGAGAAAGAGGGAGAGAGAAGGAGAGAGAGAACTCACAGGCAAAAAATTGTTCTTAAGAGGCCTCACCTGATCTTGACTGTGGGCTGCTGAGACCAAAATAGGGGCCAATTCACACCTGACTGACCTTGCTGAAAGAGCTCAGGTTGGGCCTACTGTTTGTTAGACTACTGATCAATCATTCCTTCCAGGAGGACAAGGAGGTTTCAGAGTTCGGGGCAACTTTCAGGAGGAGAAACTGGTGTTGGTTTAACTAAAGTAAGTCCACTAAACTTTTGTTGTTGTTGAGTCATTTTTTAGTCATCTCATCTTTTGTGACTCTATTTGGAGTTTTCTTGCCAAAGATACTGGAGTGGTTTCCCATTTCCTTCTCCAGTGAATTAAGGCAAACAGAAGTTAAGTGACTTGCCACCTAGTTGCCTCTACTAAACTAAAGTCCACTAGGCTGGCACTGGGAAACCGAGATGGAATTGTGGACAGTCGGTGCCCTCCAGGCCCCAAACAACTTACCTTCCCAAGTTTTCCTGTGTCCTTTCCATTTGTTCTCATTAGGGCCCGCCCACACAGCAGTGACATTAGGATTGAAGACAAAGAGTATCCTGCTGTGCTAGACCAATGGATCCAAAGTGAAAATTATATTTCATGGTATTAGCTGGATAAGCTGATCTGAATTCAGGTTCAAATGAAGAGACTCAGGAAGGCTTATAGTTATCAAGTAAAATGAGACTCATTTCAGAGATATATAAATGAAGAAAAACTCTTAGTACAATACTTCCTTTCCTTAATTATTCAATGACTTATGAGTACCTCACATAGTCCCAACACTGAACCTGAACTGAGAGTGCCAGCATTAGTCACTTCCAACAGTTCCGTACCTGTAAACTCCCACTTCTGCAGAGAAGAGAGAGGAGGGGTCTTTTATCTATTCTTTAGGGCCAAGGTTGTTAATCATTTTGCAACATTCACTTTCAATTCTTTGGTGTTTGTTCTTTCTTTCCTTTTTTTTTTTCAGGGAATGGCAGTACAATAACAACAACAATGTGATTTTATTTTTAGAAAAAGAAAAAAAGGTTTTAATCTGCCAAGATCTGCCGTCTCATCCTCCCATGCCTCAAATGAGATGATGAGAAAAACAAAACCCATTACACACATACATAGTCGATCAAAACAAATGTCTACATTGGCTATGTCAAAAAAAAATTATCTCCTTCTGCATCATCCCGAACACTTAACTGAGCCTCTAAAGGTCCATGTTCTTCAAGGTCACTGTGCTCTTTTATTGTAGCTCTCTGTGGAAGTCTCTCCAACCTGAACATGAAATTGGAGGTCTTCTTTCTCTTCTTTCCATAGGAGGTAAGTAGGTGTTAAGTAGAACAGAAGTGGCCTCTAACCTGTAGTGGCTGGAGGTGCACAAAGCAAGCCAGAGGCAGGAAAGTCAGGACACAAACAAGAGTTTAATTTCAAAGTGAGGAAAGTCCCCTGAAGAGGAGGGCTTAATATGCTGGGGCAAAGATAGATCTCATATACTTAAAAAAACACAAGTGGGCTGGACCATGAGATAATCATTCTTAGCCCTTCCCACAGCAGGCTTATGTGTGGACAATGTAGGCATTCCTGGGTCCTGTGAAACAGTCTCCAAGGTGACTATCTTACAGACACAAACAGAAGCAGAGTTAGCATGGCTGGAACAGGAGTGCAGTACCTGGTTCTGTTCCCTTAGCTGTTATTAAAAACAGGGATTATGAGCATGTCAAGAGGTGTGATAGATGCCTCTAAGGTCCCTAGGAAATAGAGAGAGCTCCAAACATAAATTCCTCAGTGAATATCTGGTGCTGGTCAAAGCAATACACTTTGCCAGAAGGTGAGATCATCCAGAGTGCAAAGGATTGTTGTTAAGCCAAGCTCGGGGCGCAACCTGAGCCTTAGCTCTGAGAAACAGTGTCTCCAAATATTTTGACATAGGTAACTTCATATTCATGTCCTTAGTTCACAAAGATTCAAAAACCTTGGCTTTGGAAGCATTGCATCTCCAGTCTGTGTTCAAAGAAAAGGTGTCCTGGTACTCTAGGAATGGCCCATGTTTCTCTACACTATATACTTTACTATGTTCTGTATTGGGGCACGGATAGCATATTTTATTATTAATCCTCTGGAATATCTGGTTGGCATTATGCTGATAAGAGTTCAGCAAATTAATATTCTATTATATTTATATGCCATAACTTGCTCACCCATTCTCCAACTTATGGGTATCCTCTCAGATTCCTATTTTTTGCCAACTCAGAAAGAGCTCTAAATATATTTGTATACCCCTCCCTTAATCTGCCTTCTAATTACCTCTCCTTTCCCTTCACTCCTTTTCTTCCTATTGAGTGAAATATATTTCTGGAGTCAGCTCTGTGTGTGTGTGTGTGTTCCTTCTTTTGACCAGTTTAGATAAAGAGTGAGATTCAAGTGTCATCCACTCCTCCCTTCTCCTTGTGTGCCCTGATTATGTGAGATAATTTTCTGTAACCTTCCTTTTCCTTTTCCTCAGTCTATTCCTCTTCTCTCTTTCTGTTCTTCTTTTGAGATCATCAAGACAAAATAGAACCACCCCCAGGCCTGGTCTAATTGGATTCTCTCTATGGACCCTATGGATCTCTATGATGATGGTAGTTATTAGAGGAGATACATGTATCATCTCCCAATATTTGATCGTAAATAGTTTATCCTCGTTTAGTCCTTTATCATTGTTCATTCAGGTTTACCTTTTTGTGCTTCTATTCACTGCTATGTTTGAACTTCAAGTTCCTCTGCAGCTCTGGTTTTTTCTTCAGGAATGATTAGAAGTTCTATTTTATTAAAGAGCCAATTTCCCCCCCTGTGAGTTAATTCTTGTTACTGGGTAAGTTGTTCTTTGCTAACAGTCCACATACTTTGCCTTCTGGAATATCATATTCCAAGTTCTCTTCTCCTTTACAGTGGTGGCTGCTAAATCATGTGTGATCCTGACTGTGGCAACTTGGTACTTGAATTCTTTCTTTGTGGCTGCTTGAAGTATTTTTCCTTTGTCTTAGAAGTTCTTGATTTTGGTTTTAGTGTTCCTGGGAGTTTTTGTTATGGGTTTGTTTTCCAGGCGGCGAGTGACCAATTCTTTCTATTTTTTTCTTTCCCCTCTGGTTCTAAGAGATTTGGGCAATGTTAAGATTTCTTGAAATAGGGTGTCTAGGCTTTTCTTTTTTGGTCATGGTGCTCAGATAGTGAAATGATTCTTAAGTTTTTTCTCCTTGATCTGTTTTCCAGATTAGTTGTTTTTGCTATGAGATATTTATATTTTCTTCCAATTTTTTAAGCTCTTTGACTTCATTTTTAAGCCTTCTGTTACTTCAGGAAGTCGCTGGCCATCCATTTGAGTTTTCAGGGAATTCATCGCTTGGATAAAGTTTTGTACCTCTTGTGCCAACCTTTTAATTCCCTTTCTAATGCTTTCATAGCTGTAATTTCTTTCCTACTTTTTTCCCTTGGGTGCTCTCATTCCATTTGTAAAAAAAATTAATGCTTTTTGTTTTAAACTTTCTTTATGTCTTCTAGGAATTCTGGTTGACCTTGTGTCCATGTTGTGTTTTTCTCTGAGGCATCGGTTGTAGATGTTTGGGAGTCATTCTCTTCTGCATTTGCATAGTGGGTGTCCTTGCCACCACAGTAGCTCATTATGATGGGGTTATTTTTTGTTTTCCCATTCTTCCAGCCTACTTCCTGACTTTTTTTTTCCATTTCACACAGTTTACTTTTTTTAAACCATGCAATAAATACTACACATTGTTTTCAAAGCTACTCTGCATTTCTATGCTTCCTTCTAAGTTTTCTTTTGTTCTCTGTTAGGCACTTCTTGTTTTTTTCTCTCTCCCTCCCCATCTTACCTTACCCTAGAGAAGGCTACCATTAGATACACACACACACACACACACACCACACACACACACACATACACATTTTATATATGTGTGTGTATATATATATATATATATATATATATGTAAAATCATACTATATATGCTTCTATTTATCAATTATTTCTCTGGAGGTGGATAATATCTTCCTTTATAGGTCCTTTATAGCTGATCTGAGTAGTTATAATACTCAAAATGACTTAGTCTTTCAAAGTTGTTTTTAGAACAATATTGCTGTTACTGGGTACACCATTCTCTTGATTATGCTTTTTATTCTTCATCATTTCATGCAAGTCTTTCCATGTTTTTCTAAAATCAATCAGCTCATCATTTCTTATAGCACAGTAGTATTCCATCACAATCATATACCACAACTTGTTTAGCCATTTTCCTGATGGGCATTCCCTCAATTTCAAGTTCTTTTCCTTTCCCACTAATCATCTTAGGAAACAGACTTAATAATGGTATTGTTTGGTCAAAGGATCTACACAGTTTTATAACTCTTTGGCCGTAATTCCAGATTGCTCTCCAAAATGGCTGGATCAGTTCACAGTTCCACTAACAGTGAATTAGTGTCCCGATTTTCCACATCCCCTCCAACATTTTACTTCCTTACTTTGGACTTGATGTTAAGGCTAGCTTTTGTAGCACTCTGGAAGGAGGAAGGTCTGAGCTGGTTCTGTTGCTGCTTTTTTGAGGGGAACTGAGTGTTGGGTTATTTTAGAATCTTAGGGACAGGCTGGGTACCTGTGAGCTTTCAGTGCTCCCAGAGTGGTCTGAACTAGGGCAAAGTGTAATTGTCACACACACCCCCTTCCCTCTTATCCCCCTCCCTCTGAATTCTGCAAGTTTCTGACCAAGCTTTGTGGTCTGTGCAAGAATAGTCTGCTGCTAGACTCCACTCCCATTAGCCAGCTGGAAAGCTCTGATGGTTTAAAGTGGTGGAATTCTAGGCTACCCTTTGGTTTCAGTTTCCTACCTTGGTTATTCCTCTACAAACTGGGCTAGATTCTGGAAGTGAGACCCTGCTCTGAGCTTGGGGTTAGTGTCAGAGCCACACCACTGCTGCTATTGGCTTCTGAACTTCCTCCTTTCTCAGTACATCACCTAGAACTTCTTTATCAGGAAAGACAATGCCACCATCTGAGATCTACAGTTGGGTAGTGGATGACAAAGCTGTCACTTGGCACCTGTCCCTGTAGTGCCCCGGTATGGACCTAGGGGTGCTTCAGTATGGGTCTGGAACCTCCTTTTGTGCTGGTGCACAGCCTTTCCCTGGTGCTGGAGTGTTCCATGGACTGTAGGCTTCTGCCCAGACCCTGACACCGGAGTCTGCAGACTTCTCTGCCTGTATCCCTATACTGACCTGGGCCAGACAGCAGACTGCAGAAAAAGGCTGTGTCTTTTCCTGCATTATTCCATTACGATTTGGTTTGATGCACTTAGTGTATCTGTTTGGAAGAGTTGTGGATGGGTGCTCAGTTGCATTGCTTTCTTCTGTTCTACCACCTTGGCTCTCCCTCCCCCTCCATTCCGCAGGTTATTCTCCCTACATTTTTGTTGTCATTATTTAGTATTGTTTTTTGGGCTTTGCTCACTTTTCTCTGTATAAGTTCATGTAAGTCTTTCCATATTTCTCTATATACATCATATTCATTGTTATTTTTTAACAGAGGTGTCAAACTCAAATAGAAATGGATCCTTGCAAGCTGCATGTTGACTGGAGAACCACAAATCAGCACTATCCAATTATATATTAACCTAGTTCTGGTCTCTCAGAGCTTCGGGGTCTGCATGTGGTCTACAGGCTTAGAGACTGACACCTCTGATTGACATAGTAATATTCCGTTACATTTATGTACTATAATTTGCTTATTTTCCAGTGGAATGGTATCTACTTCATTTTCAGTTCTTTGTTACCACAAAAGATGCTGCTATAAATATTTTGGTGTACATGGAAATATACTGGGTTTGAAAAACAATGGCAGGAGTTGGTAGTTGATTGTGGTGGGGGAAGCTGTTTGAATAACAAAGATTATTGACACATAAAATCTAAGACACAGCACTAGGAATAGGGTGGGAGGTGGTGGGGTGCTGGGTGGTTGATAGCCAGTTTCCTTCCTTCCTCCCTCCCTCTGCTCCCTTTTTCCCTTCCTGCTTCCTTCCACAATTTTAGCCATTCTACTGATTAGAAGGTGGTATTTTGAGATTGTCTTGATTTGCATTTCTTTTACTATTATAGTATTTGAACATCTCTATATGTGTTTATTAACAGTTTACATTTTCTTCTTTGTAAATTGTCTGTTCATGTTCTTTTACCCTTGTTCCATTGGGGAGTGTGTATATTTTTAGTTTTATAGCTATGAATTAATTCCTTTTAGATTTTTGGATGACAGACCTTTATTTGATAT